TTTTTTAATAGAGACGGGGTCTCGCTCTTGCTCAGGCTGGCCTCCAACTCCTGGCCTCGAGCGATCCTCCCGCCTCAGCCTCCCAGAGTGCTGGGAGGACAGGCGTGCACCTCCCCACCCCCACGTATTACGGGTGTGGATTCTTCTCGACCGGCACGAACCCACACCAACGTAGGAGGAAGCACACGGCCAGGCGGACAACCACACGCTCGCGCACGGCCAAGGGCCGAGGCTCCAGCCCCCGCGGCCTCCGCGGGCCATTGGGAGCTGTCACGTGGGCAGCGGTGGAGGCTCAGTGCTCAGGAGGGAGATTAAGGACACAGACTCGAGGCCACCACGTGGGAGGGACTCAGTGCTGCCACTGTGTCGTACTGTGGCCTCCACCTGGCTACCCGGCCTCAACTTTGTCATTGTGTGGCCTCAACCTCATTACCCAGCCTCCACTTTGTCACTGTGTGGCCTCAGCCTTGTTACCCGGCCTCCACTTTGTCATTGTGCGGCCTCCACCTGGCTACCCGGTCTCCACTTTGTCACTGTGTGGCCTCAGCCTTGTTACCCGGCCTCCACTTTGTCATTGTGCGGCCTCCACCTGGCTACCCAGCCTCCACTGTGTCGTAGTGCGGCCTCCACCTGGCTACCCGGCCTCTACTTTGTCATTGTGCGGCCTCCACCTGGTTACCCGGCCTCCACTTTGTCATTGTGCAACCTCCACCTGGCTACCTGGCCTCTACTTTGTCATTGTGTGGCCTCAGCCTTGTTACCCGGCCTCCACTTTGTCATTGTGTGGCCTCCAACTGGCTACCCGGCCTCCACTTTGTCATTGTACGGCCTCCACCTGGCTACCCAGCCTCCACTTTGTCATTGTGTGGCCTCCACTTTGTCATTGTGCGGCCTCCACCTGGTTACCCGGCCTCCACTTTGTCATTGTGTGGCCTCCACTTTGTCATTGTGCGGCCTCAGCCTTGTTACCTGGCCTCCACTTTGTCATTGTGTGGCCTCCACCTGGCTACCCGGCCTCCACTTTGTCATTGTGTGGCCTCCACTTTGTCATTGTGCGGCCTCCACCTGGTTACCCAGCCTCCACTTTGTCATTGTGCAACCTCCACCTGGCTACCCGGCCTCCACTTTGTCATTGTGTGGCCTCCACTTTGTCATTGTGTGGCCTCAGCCTTGTTACCCGGCCTCCACTTTGTCATTGTGTGGCCTCAACCTGGTTACCCGGCCTCCACTTTGTAATTGTGTGGCCTCCACCTGGCTACCCAGCCTCTACTTTGTCATCGTGTGGCCTCAACCTCATTACCCGGCCTCCACTTTGTCATCCTGTGGCCTCCAGCTCATTACCCGGCCTCCACTTTGTCATCGTGCAGCCGCAACCTCGTTACCTGGCCTCCACTTTGTCATCGTGCGGCCTCCACCTCGTTACCCGGCCTCCATTTTGTCATTGTGTGGCCTCAACCTCGTTACCCAGCCTCTACTTTGTCATCATGTGGCCTCAACCTCGTTACCCAGCCTCCCCAGGGTGAGGCCGGGAGGATTCTCAGCCCACAGAAAACGCCGGCAAGCCACCGCGGGGCGGGGCCCTGGGGGTGAGGCCGCGGGGACTCACGTAGTCGATGGGAGGCTGAGCGTCCTCGTCCTCCCCTCGAAGCTTCCTCACTAAGAGCTGGACGAAGTCCCCGAAGGTGGTGGCCATGTAAACGTCCTCGTTTTCCAGCTCCAGCCCCTCGCAGAGCTCCTTGACTTCCTCCACGAGCCTGAGGGGGAGGGGACGGAAAGCTGGGGGAAACGTGGAGGCAGCCTCGCCGAGAAGCGGCCTCCACCCGGCCTCCAAAGCATGGCCTCGAACTGGGAGGACGGGCCTCACCCGCACATTCAGAAACCTCGGTTTCCATTTCTCACTCCCTCACCTGCCACCACGTTTCCCCGACAACCAGACCCTTGGCGGGGACGTCTGAGCATTGGAGCCGTCAAAGCCCGACCCTGGCAACCGGCCCTAGCAACGGGCTTGGTTACGCATAGCAGGACGTCTGAGCATCGGAGCCGTCAAAGCCCGACCCGGCAACCGGCCCTAGCAACGGGCTTGGTTACGCATAGCAGGAC